CATCTAGATGTGTACTCTCTCTCTCTCTCTCTCTCTCTCTCTCTCTCTCTCTCTCTCTCTCTGTTTGTCTCTCTCTCTGTCTTTGTGTGTGGCCTGTTGCTGTTCCTGCAGCTTCCAGTTGGACCTTTCTGTACTGACAAGCTGGTTACTGTCTGTGTGGATCTCAGCTAGGAGGGCTTTTGCAACCATATGTGACTCACGGTTCAAGCTGCGCCCGTATGCTGAAGCCTGCCCTGCGTCAAAACTGATTTCTCACAGAGGTGAGCAATTTTTGGTCATGATTGCCCTTTTCTTGTCAATATCATCTCGTTATTCTGCAGCATAACTGCCTCTCTGTCTTGAACCACCAGTACCTCGCGCCGCCACTTTTCTCGGGCGCAGCAGCAAACGCGCCACAATCTTGGGGGGCTTGGGCTAGCGCAGCAAAATGGGTGGCTGTGCCACCCATAGGACGGCCCTCGCCACTTTATTTTTTTTGGGCCGTCCAGGGTGTCTTCAGGGTCGGAAAAATGTTGGCCATAGGAACTGGTGGTTTAAACCGCCAGTACACGGCCCCAGCATTGCTGAAAATGCAACTCGTCACCTACAAAATTTTCGGCGGACTCCGCCAGTACACGGCCCCACAATGGCCGGTGGTGCCAGCCAAAAAAGAAAGAAGGTGCGCCTCTGGCTTGCGGCACCAGTCAAAAAGAAAGTAAAAAAAGTGCGCCTCTGTCTGGCGGTTCAGAAAAAGCTTGGCGCTCAGTAAGGTGCGCCTCTGGCTGGCGGCAGCAGTCAAAAAGAAAGAAAAAAAAGTGCGCTTCTCGCGGTTCAGAAAAAGCTTGGCGCGCAGTAAGGCCCCTCCAGGCCTGGGTGCACTGGTGGTTTAACTTTAAAGTTTAAACTTTGAAGTTTAAAGTTTAAAGGCACAGTGATGTCAGAGGCCTGTGCATTTGTGAGTTGGTGAATGAGAGAGAGGAAGCGGAGGCGGGTGTTGGGAGATTCTGATTTTTTTTTTTTTTTTCCCCCAATGTGGGACTACAGTAGTAGATCAGTTGGTATACTCACGAACTGTTGAAATACAGACCCGACTTCGAATCCGGATGCCATCAGATGAACAGAATAAAATAGTCCTGAATAGTCTGAATTGATTAAAAAGAAAAGAAAAAGAAGGGAGGAAACAAAAAAAAACAAAACAAAAAAAAAAAAAAATTGTTTTTGGCACTTTTGCCACTCTTGGTTGTTTTTTTAGGTCAAGCACTGTGATTTGTTAGGAGGTCACCCATCCCAGTACCATCCCAGCTAAACAGCGCTTGGCTTCCCAGTTAGGATGGGATCAGGGCCATCAGGCACATTACCGTACCTTATCCAAAATTTTGGACCATTTCTTTTCTTGATTTGTGGGTTGCGGGCGGAGGTTCAAATCCCGCTTTCTCCCAACGGTTCTTAGAGCGCGGGGTGGCTGTTTGTCACGGTCTGTGTGTGGCATTCTGAGCCACACGGGCCCCAGACAGGGCCCGGTTCCAAGTAGGCAGGGTAGGCCTAGGGGGACGACGGTTCCGACCAGGCCCAGATAGGCCAGAGGCAGGGCACGTTTAGGCCCAAACGGCCAGAGGCCGGTACCGGTTCTCATTAGAATTTAGAACCTACCGGCGGCGTTTCAGAGGCTGCCCAGAGTTTGGCGCCAAGACCAGTTTTAAAACTGGACCGTTGATCTAGATCAACGGTCCAGGCCGGTAGGTACCAGTGAGTAGGAGGCCGCCCCAGCACTACAAAAGGCTGGGTACCAGCCTCAGTAGAAAGGCTAGAAGGCTAGAGGTTCGTCTTCAGGATTAGCGCATTAGCTTTAGCATTAGCTCGTTTAGCGCAGCGCTGCAGCACAGCACGGAGCAGCGAGAGCGAAGAGCCAGCGGCGAGCGGATTAGCGCAGCACTTGGGCACAGCGCCGGTTACCGGCCCAGCCCCTTGCAGCGCCTCAGCGACGGACCAGGTATCAGGGAGGAAGGTTTCGCCTTCTCTCCCTCTTCTCCTCCATCGCTCCTCTCTCCTCTCTCTCTCTCTCTCTCTCTCTCTCTCTCCTACCATCTCAGTCTAAGTCTACTTCTACTTCTCCTACAGGACTACTGCAGTATGAAGGATGGTTACGACCTCTGATAACATCTGGAACAGCGAGATTGGAACTACGAGTTGAGGATTACTACTTGGGATCTGATTTCATCTTCCTTCTGAAGATGTACTTGACATTGTGAGATCGATATCTGAGATATTGTGAGATTTGGCATTCGCGACATTTCGGATTTTCGTCACTTCTGACAATTCAAGATACTATCTTTTGGAAACATTGAGTTGACGTCATCGTCCCTCTCCTCCTCCTCCGTCTCTCTCCTCTCTCCCTTCGTCCGTGGATGATCTCAGTCCCTGGCCCTTCGTCTATGTCTGAGGCCAGGGCCTTCACACCCCCTGATGAATGTTGAGAGTGTTCGATTGCAGTCCGAGTCAGTCCAAGGTATCTCAAGTCTTCCGCTTGCAATTTGTATTAACTCTGTATTATCTGGTCGGTTCTGGGAGACTGTGTTTCACGAGTATGCAACACTGTGTCTGTAAACAAACATGATGTTGGAACTCGCTCCACTACGCAATGCTCTACATTGTCTACATGCATTTGAACGCTTTTCTGGACCAGGTGCATTCAGAGCAGTACAACATTTTGAATGTATGGAGATGGTTTTTGATACATGTAGAGTATTATAGACTGTTGTGCAGTGGAGCGAGGCCCTCTGAGATGAAACATTGTTGTCAGTTTATGGAGCTCTACATGCATTTGGATGCTTTTCTGGACCGGGTGCATTCAGAGCAGCACAACATTTTGAATGTATGGAGACGGTTATGAGGTCCAGATACGTATTGACTGTTGTGCAGTGGACCGAGGCTCTCTGAGCTGAAACATTGCTGTCAGTTTACGGAGCTCGGGGCAGGCGTTTCGAGGTCTGCAACAATAACAACAGCAAATCGAGCTGAATGCTGAATGAACACTGATCAATCTGTGTGTACGTGCAAATAAATGGATGGAGACGATTATGAGGTCCAGATACGTATAGACTGTTGTGTAGTGGAGCGAGGCCCTTTGAGCTGAAACATTGTTGTTGTCAGGTGATGGAGATCGGGGTAGGTAGGCGTTTTGACTCTTTCGAGGCCAGCAACAACGACAACAACAACAGCGATTTGAGCTGCTGAATGCCGAACGAACACGGACCAATCTGTGTGGACGTGGATTTTTTTTTTTTTTTTTTTTTTTTCAAAACAACTCCTGAACGAACACTACACCGACCAATCTGTCCAGACGCGCAAATGAATTTGTTGTGGGTTTGCAGAGCGCCACCTGCCGTTCCTAGGCCGGCGACAACGGCAATTTTTTTTATTTGTATTTTTATTTTTTTTAACAACTGCAATTCGAGCTGAATGTCGAACGAACACTGATCAATCTGTGCGTACGCGTAATTTGCGGCACAATTTTAACCGCGCAAATGAATTTCTATTGTGTTTTTTTGCAGAGCTCTCACCTGAGTCATCTGCTGTTGCTAGGCCGGCGACAACAGCAATTCGTTTTTTTTTAGACAAGCGCAACTTCAGCTGAATGCCGAATAAACACACTGACCAATCTGTGCGGATGCGTAAATGAAATTTCTATCGTGGGCTTTTGCAGATCTCTCCCCCGCTGTTCCTAGGCCGGCGACAACGGTGAGAGTTGCGAGGAGACTGATAGCAAGTGCATTGAATGACAGAAACATCACCAGGGCTGTGCTGGCTCAGGCCCCCAAAGGTTGTTCGGTAGAGGACCAGCGAAAGAGAGACGAGGAGAGGCGGGCTCGTCAGAACATGAGGCGAGAACTGAGGGATGCTGCGTGGTCTGAGAACTGAGCGCGTTTTCACAGTAAATATATATTTTTTAAACCGGTTTCCTGAACGTACTGTGCAGTGTGCAGTCAAAATCTGGTGAGATTCGTCCAGGATATCCCTGCGTTCGTCGACACCCGAATAGAACACATGGTCATTATACCTGTGTATGTATTTGGTGCAACTTTCCGTCCCAATGCAGTGACAGGGACACTGACCGGACGTTCTATTCGGGTGAAGACGGTCGTGTCGAGTATGCTCCAAGGGTGATCGTCAACACCAAGGGATGCAAACCTGTGGGATAGAGTTGTATGTATTTGGTCCGACTGTCCATCCAGATGCGGCGACAATGACCGGGCGTTCTAGTCAGATGAAGACGGTCGTGTGAGTATATGCTTCGAGGGTGATCATCAACACCAAGTGGGATATGGTTGGTATGTATTTGGCGCAACAACTTTCCGTCCATCCGGGGCAATCTGTTCGGGCAAAGACGGTATTGACTTTTCCCATTGTATGTTCGTCGATATTTGAAGGCCACGGAGTGGGGAGAGCCTGGACTCTGGAGGAGCTGATAAGAAACCCGAGAAAAGCCGCGACCCGTGGGAGCCTCCAGGTGCAACGACAATTACCGGGCATTCTGTTCGGGCAAAGACGGTAGAGTGAGTATGCTCCGAGGGTGATTGCCAACACCAAGGGATGCGAACCTGTGGTATATAGCTGGTATGTATTCGGGGCAACTTTCCGTCCACATGCAGCGATAATGACTGGGCATTCTATTCGGCCGATCGCCAACACCCAAGGAATTTGTTTCACTGTCAGAAGCATTATCTTCTGCGAACCTGTGTGACGACCACGGAGTCGCGGCGACCGACGACCGACGACCACCCCATGGCTGACGCAGCTTCATGGCCCCGTTGCAACGCCATAGCTTGATCTCTGTTTCTATGTCCATGGCCGATAGCTTCATCTCTGTTTCTATTTCCATGGCCGATAGCGTGACCTCTGGTTCTATTTCCATGGCCGATTGATTCGATTGTAGAGCTGTTGAGCTGGCGGAGTTGTCTCGCTGGGGTGGGTGCATTTGTGTGCGACTACCGTCGTCAACCGAATATAACGTACGATCATTATTGCTTGTATCTAGACTCAAAGATGCCCCACATACATACAGCAATAATGACCGTATACATTGTGTTCGGGCGAAGACGATATTTGCCAGGCAAGCAAGCGATGGTGTTAGTTGTGAGAAACTTCAGCGAAAGTGATGCGAATGGACCTGGATGGCTCCACCACCCAGAGCACATGCACAAAAGACAAAAAACATATGGCGGTGGATCTTCCCGTGTTTTTTTTTTCTAGCGGAAAATTGAAAATTCCGTCTCATTTTGTGCAATTTTTTGGTGAATAATGGAGTGAGAGGCCAAATGTGAAGGGTGGGCTATTTTCTGGCCTTCTTTTTTTTTTTTTTTTTTTTTTTTTTTAAGCCCACTGTTTCTATTAATAAAGGACTGGAAATCGGATCCAGTGTCACTTGCAATCCGGCTTTGTTTAGGCTGTTGTGCACGTTTTTTTCTGGTGGTGGTCCCGAGAAGTTGATGAGACCGTGACGGATGTGTTTGTGTATCATTTGCTTGACGAAATCAGTGAGACATGGCCGACTGGCGTATGCACGAAAAGGATGGCCCATTTCCTGGCTTTGTTTGGGCTGTGGTGCCCTTTTTTTTTTTTTTCAATCAATACGAAATTTGCAATTTTGCACCGCTATTTCTCAATTTGTCTGTGTCATGCACTGTCATGCTTTGACAGCGCAGGGGTCATCCAATTTTATAAAAAAGGAATCGATTTCAAGTTTGGGCCGGTTGTCCCGTGTGAAACGGTTTTCACCTTTTCTGCAGTCACAGATGCGGGCCCAAGAGTTCGATCCCCAGACCTCACCTTACCCATGTACAGTATCGAGCTGACCCCCGAGTGTTTGAACCGGTGACCTGTGTTTCAGTAGTTGGTTGTTCTTTGTCGTAGGTCTGTGTAGATGTAGGGGTTCGATCTGTAGGTCTGTCGAGTAGGGGTCACAGCTCTGTAGACGTCGTAACTGTAGGTGTTCTGAGAGGTCAAGGTCGTAGCCGCTACAGTCCTGAAAGATCAAGGTCGTAGCTGCTACAGTACTCGAAAGGCCAAGTCCACAGACTTCCGGAAGGTTCGGAAGTGGGACCTGTTTTTCGGTAGTTGGTTGTTGTCTGTCGTAGGTCTGTGTAGATGTAGGGGTTCGATCTGTAGGTCTGTCGAGTAGGGGTCACAACTCTGTAGACATCGTACCTGTAGGTGTTCTGAGAGGTCAAGGTCGTAGCTGCTACAGTCCTGAAAGATCAAGGTCGTAGCTGCTACAGTACTCGAAAGGCCAAGTCCACAGACTTCCGGAAGGTTTGGAAGTGGCCTTTCGAAAGTGTCTCGCGTTTAGACAAAAGGCAAGTGGGCAAGTGGTAAGCCCAACTGCGCTGAGTCGGCAGTGCGACTGCGTCGAGTCGGCAGTGCAACCCCGTGCGGTCAGCGGTACCGGTCCCAGTCGGTCGCAGTCCTGTCGAGCAAGTACCGTGTGGGACTGTGTGCACCAAGGGCCTGGTGGAAAAGAGGCAGACCAACGAGTTACAGAAGTATAAATCAAGAGGCAGCGCCCAGCCATTCATTCATTCGCTTCGTAAGCCATGCGGAAGCGCGGCTACAGCGTCTTGTGCGAAGGTGGTTTGCAGGTTGCCCGAAGATGAAGTGGGGGTAGTCATACTATCATAGTCAGTAGTGGTCGAGCGGCCATAGCTGTTGTAGAAGGAAAAGATAGGAGTAACGCGTGTGTGTGTGGTGGTATTCAGGGTGATCCAGAGTTGAGTAATGCGCGAACGGTGGTGTCGGACGCAGTGACGAAAGTGGTGTGCAGGCGCCGATGAGCCATAGTTGTTGAAGTGAGCTTGCATCTTAACTGTGTTCTCTTTTCCATGTCTCTGAGTTTTGTGTGAGCGCGAAGCGCCAGTGGGAATCGCCATCTGTTTGCATGTATGCGAAGTGGAAAAGAAAGCGAATCTGATCGCACGTGTATTCTCTTTCTTTTCCGGTTGTTCCGAAGAACAGGCTGTGAGGAAGCATCATTTATAGCGGGGGAATCACCATCTGTTCGCCATCTGTTACCGGTTGTTCCGATCCGAAGAACAGGCTGTGAGGAAGCATCATTTATAGCGGGGGAATCGCCATCTGTTCGCCATCTCTTACCGGTTATTCCGAAGAACAGGCTGTGAGGAAGCATCATTTATAGCGGGGNGAGAGAGAGAGAGAGAGAGAGAGAGAGAGAGAGAGAGAGAGAGAGAGAGAGAGAGAGAGAGAGAGAGAAAAGAGAGGTGGTGCACGGTATAGCTGCACGAATAAAGAAGATGCTTTGCTCCCAGACTGTGAGGAAGCATTATTAACAGCGGGGGGGAAAAGAAAAAGAGAGAGAGAGAGAAAAAAGAGCGGTGGTGCACGGTATAGCTGCACTGATGAAGAAGATGCTTTCCTCTCCCCCCCCCCCGCCCCCCCAAATGCATTGTATCTGGCCATGGTTTCGAGACAGAGGATTGATTTTCACTTTGGCAAGAATTTGATGCTGTCATTTCGGATGATTTGGCAGACTACCATTCTTCTCCCGAACACAACACACCTACGTCATAAGTGTGTATAGAAACTACTTTCAGGTCCATATACGGTCGTGATGAGGGTGTGTTATGCCCTCAGGAGAGGGAGGTACACCTTTGGTTGTGGGAGGTGGATGCATGCAATTTCACTTCAAGGATGATGATGTTCACTGCAAGTACGATGAAGTTTTGCTGCAAGTATGATGAAATTTCACTGCAAGAATGATGAAGTTTCACTGCAAGTGTTCTGCACCTCCAGCGCAAGTGCTCGTTATAACTTCTCTTCTTTTTCGGAATCGTCGGAATCGCAGGTCAATTTCGACTCCGAGTTCGACTTCGACCATGATAAGAACTCAGCTCCTGAAAAAAAAAAAAAAAAGACGAAGAAGAAGAAGAAGAAGAAAAAGAAGAAGAAGAAGAAAGAAAGAGCTCAGCTTCTCAGTTCGTACTTTTGTGAGAGAGAGAGAGTGGTGGATGGGGCTCTTTTTTTTTTTTTTTTTTTTTTAAAAAAAAAGGGATCGATTTCAAGTTTGGCCATTCAAGCTGTGTACATTCTGTTGCAGGGATTTTGAAGCAGGGTTTCCCGCGAAGCAGATCGCGATGCCGATTGGAGAGCAAGTTCCTAACGGATACTGTAGCGGATGCTGCTATGTAGTGGTAGTTCTGAAGCAGGGATGGTTCTCTGGGACATCTGTTAAAGTTGGAACGATACACAGATGATCACTAATGGCATGGCCCCGTGTGCAACAATGAGACACTTAAACCAAGAAATGATTCAAATTACAAAACAAAAAAAAAAAAAGAAGAAAAAAAAGGGTTCTAAGCAGGGGTGCGAAGCAGGGTCCAAAGCACGGTCTGAAGCAACGCCCGAAGTAGGGTCTGAAAGCGGGATCCGAAGCAGCGTCCGAAGAAGGTTGTTCTGAAGCAACGTCCGAAGCAGGGGTCTGAAGAAGGGGTCCGAAGCAGGGGTCTGAAGCAGGGGTCGGAAGTAGGGTCCAAAACAGGCCTGGGTCGGAAGCAACGTCTGAAGCAGGGTCGGAAGCAGGGGTTTGAAGCAGGCCCGAAGCAAGGTTACGAAGCAGGGTTTGGAAGCAGGGTGTGAAGCTGGGTTCTGAAGCAGGGGTCAGAAGCAGGGGTTCCTAAGCAGGGTTCTGAAGCAGGGTTCCAAAGCAGGGTGTCTTTAAAGCAGGGTTCCAAAGCAGGGTGTCTTTGAAGCATGGTGTCTTTGAAGCAGGGTACCGAAGCAGGGTGTCTTTGAAGCAGGGTCCGAAGCAGGGTTCCAATGCAGGGAGTCTGAAGCAGGGAGGCCCGAAGCAGGGTTTCGAAGCAGGGTACAAAGCAGGGTTTCGAAGCAGGGTGTGAAGCATGGTTCTGAAGCAGGGGTCCGAAGCAGGGGTTCCTAAGGGTTCCAAATTAGGGTTTCTTTGAAGCAGGGTTCCGAAGCAGGGTTCTGAAGCAGGGGGTCTGAATCAGGGGGTCTGAAGCAGAGTTTCAGAGCAGGGGTTCCTGAGCAGGGTCTGTACAGGTTTCGAAGCAGGGGGTCTTTGAATCAGTGTTCCGGAGCAGGGGGTCTTTGAATCAGGGTTCCGAAGCAGGGGGTATTTTTGAAACAGGGGGTATGTTTGAAGCAGGGGTCCGAACCAGGGTCCAAAGCAGCAGGGCTCCGAACCAGGGTCGGAAGCAGGGTTCCAAATCAGGGGGTCTGAAGCAGAGTTCCGAAGCAGGGGGGCTCCTAAGCATGATCTGTGCAGGGTTCAGAAGCAGGATTCAGAAGCAGGGGCTCGCTCTGAGGCAGGGTGAGAAGCAGGGCTCCGAAGCAGGTTCCCGAAGCAAGGTCCGAAGCGCTGCCAACTGACAACTGCATTATTAAAGGATAGCAGTGTCTGCTGCATTATTGAAGGATAGAAGCATTGTCTGCCTTGCCATGTAAATGACTGTGGCAGTGTTTGATGTGTGAACATGGAGTCACTACTGTCTTCTCCCGGAAGCAATGCACCCTGTCATGACGTGTGTAACCGGAAAGGATGGCTTCATACATTCGTGATTAGGGTGCATCGTGTTTTGGCGGAAGGAAGCAGTCTATTGCTTGAGGTTTTCTATCCCCATCTCATGTGCTTTGTTGTGTCTGGCCTTTTTTTCTTTTTTTTCCTTTCTTTCCGAGAAGCCCGCCGGGAGCTACTAGGCGGTGGGGGTGGGGAGGGGAGGGCGGGTAGGTAAAAGCAACCCTCCCTGGTAGGTCTGTTGGCAGCTGCTCCATGTCTGCCCTGCTTTGTGAGGCAGAAGAGAGTGGAACACGGTCCCTTGGGTGCTTGGAGCCAAGGCATGTGTTTCATTATTGAGCAGGACGTATCCAGTCACAGCGTGCGGCTATGTAAGGTTTCTGTGGCCGACTGAGTCATGACGTCAGGAGGGCTTCTGCATCACACACGCAGACATCTTCCACAAGTAACTGTGCAGGATTCCTGACGTAGCGGCCTGCCCCGGTACCTCAAATGACCTCAAACGACCTCAAATGTTCTCGATGATCTGTATAATTCGGTATGGGACGCTGGGTCCGGTTCCCAGCATGTGCTGCCCCATGAATAGACTGGAAACCTTGTTCAAAAAAAAAAAAAAAAAAAAAAAAAGCGGCCCGCAGCGGCCAGGCGAGGTGGGGTTTGTTGAAATCGGTGCAGGTTTCCCTGTGTGGGGGACGATGACCCTCCGGCTTCGTCACAGGGCAGGAGGGCTTCTTCATGGGGGGGAAGGAGATGCGGAGAGGTGAATGATGACGAGCTCGTTTGCAACCGTCAACGACCAGAGAAACTCCCCAGTACTCTATAGATTTAGACTGCGCAGCCAAACTGTTGAAATACAGACCTGAGTTCAAACTCCAACGATATATTATATGGAAAACATACGATTGCCATTGTTAATGACATGGAAATTGATGGAAAATCCTTCTTTGTTCTTTTTTCAAGTTTTTTCAAGTTTTTTGAAGTTTTTTTAAGTTTTTAGGGTTTAGGGTTTAGGAAATTGATGGAATCCTTCTTTGTTCTTTTTTCCCCTGTTGGTTTTTGACATGGAAATTGCTGGAAAATCCTTCTTTGTTCTTTATT